GGGTGTGTGGGGGGCGGGGGGATTGGAGGGTCCCTAAATATCAAGTTTGTATTTTATTTTATGGTATTTTATTTTAGAAAAACAATCATTCTGTTCACTCCTCTTTTCAGTGCTTGACAAAATGGAATTTTTAAATTTCTTTCATGCATCAATAAGCCCTCAAACTAAGTCAAACAAAAATTAGTTTCAAAAATACTGAGAAAGCATAAGGCTGTGAAACTGCCACAAAAACAAACAAACATCTTAAACAAAATACCAAACAAAACTTCTCAGGAAAACCAATTCATTTTGTCCTTTATCAGAGAGTGTACGAGACTTTCTGTAAAACTGGGATTTTCACAGGGCTTAAAAAACCCAGTGAGTTTGGGAAAGTGAAACAGGTGGCGTGGGATGAATGTGTGTTGGATTTGGTGTCAGGCTAATGTGGGTGAGCAGGTGTGAGGGTGGATGTTTCTGGGGCAACAGGACTGAGGGGCCTTCTACGATCACATTCAAATCAATGTCAGGGAAAGGGGGCGCTATCAACTACGACTGGCTAATATCCAACATTTTTATATGTTCTTCACAGTCGGTCACTTCACTGTGACGGGTCAACAGTATTCATTCAGCACAGTCAGCAGTTTTCTATTCACTCAGACATGTTGACAGAAACCACACAGACACAGCTGCATTTCAGTTCAATACTCAAGTTCACAAGGAAAAAAATGCAGATGATTTTTAATCACTGTCCCAAAGGCGTCTATAACTATCTGCTAATAAATGTTCATAAAAAAGAATTTTCTTTTTCTGCCTCGTGCCCTGCAGTAATTTTGCTTCCTTTCAGTCTTGGATCCCAAAAGACAATTATTTTCAGATTATTGCCTCTTGGCTAACAAGCATATGGCTAATAATAACTATGTGCACATGAATGCAGGTTGTTTTTTTTTTTTGTTTGTTTGTTTTAAATGCCAGAAGCAAAAGTATTTCTGTGTTCTGTCACATTTACCTGAGCGACAAAGGCTGCTCAAAATCAGGTAACAAGATAGGACACCGGGAAAAGAGAGCAGGTAACGAGGCGTCTCCTCAAATTGTTCTCTCTTCACTTGACTTTTCTGGTTGACCTGCAGCTTCCATCAGCAGTGACCCCAGTCAGGGTAATCCAGCAGGAAGCAGAATTGTTCCCGATCGACAAACAGATCATTTATAAAACAAACACTCGCAGTCGCCTTAAACCCTAACCCTCTTACGCACGGCCCTGCGTCGTACAGTCACCTCTAACAGAGATGTTGTGTGACGGCCGACTGTTGTCTGTCAACAGAGATTATCTGCAGACGTGTCCGTGTGCACGTCTGCGTACGCAGGTTCGGAGCCAGTGTTTGTTTGCACCCATTGTTGTATCTGAGCCGATGGATTAGACGTGACATTGGTAAAGACGGCCGACGTGTGTCAAGGGGCGACGTGTGTCCAGATGAAAGTCTTGGTCAAAAAAAAGGCTCAAAACCTGATAAAGTACACTGTCAAATACTGCAATATTGCTTATCGCCTCAGTCTATCGCAGTATTCTTGAATTGTGGAATTTTCAAACACATGAGCCCGGCTAGCTCAGTCGGTAGAGCATGAGACTCTTAATCTCGTCGTGGGTTCGAGCCCCACGTTGGGCGGAGCTTTTTCCAGAAGTGCAATACAGTATCTCTGACAGGAGTCAACACATGACCTTAATCTTTAGGTAAACTATAAAAAAAGAAAACTGTCATTTCCCAGCCCGGGGTCACTAAGGTAGATCTATTGACATATGTAAATATTTCATATATATTGATATGTAAACTTAAATATGTAAATGTATGTTCATAAATGTTATACTTTTTCCCTGAGTGAAAAGTGACTCTAATACCTGGAATTGCTGCTCACACAAATTAAAAATAACATATTGGGATTTATAAATAAAGTGTGACTTTAATTTACTCCTGCCCGTTCTGGGCGTGAGAAGGATTTCTTTCTGAAGGAGTTGCCAAAAGAGAAGATGGCAGGAAATGAAAATGCACACACTCAACTGTTTTTTCCCTCATCTTTCCTGGACTAATTGCGTACAACCACAAATGAGAAAACACACACAGACACACTTTTGTGTTTTACCGTCCTGTTCAAGGACACATCAGTCCTCACATCTGTATCCTGGTGCTCTCTTCACTGTGTTTAGTGTTGTCATTTCAGTACTTCATTTTCTGTCTGCGTATGTTTGTCTCCTCCACAGTGGAGACTAATGTCAACCTGCAGCTGTTCACTGGTCTTTTGAACCATGTGTTGAAGCCACATGGTCTATTGTTGTTACTATAAATAAGAAACAAATCATTAAGATTTGATCATTTTCCCTGTTACTGTTTTTTTTTCCTTCCCTGTTGTTGGTGTTCGTCTCTGCAGTCTTTCCATTTTCTTTTGTCTTTGCCCTTCGCTCATAGAATATCGACAGTTCCAGCTTCATAACCTCCTCTCCCCCAGTCCCTCTCCCTCTCTCTGTCTGACTCGCTCTTCGTCTGGCCTTCACGGGAGCCTCTCAGGGCACAGTATGTGGCTGCTCTGGCCACACACTTGTCAAACATAAACCGATCATTTCACCAAACTGAATAATACACACATTCACCGCAGGCCCCTCGTCTCCTCTGCCCACCTCTCGACGCTCCCTCGAGCCGCGTGCAATTTCCATCTCCATGCCTTCTGCTCTTCCCCATCTCTCCCCAAACATCTCCCCGGATCTTTGCGCTCTTGCACCTTTCTCAACTTCATCTTTGCCGCACCATCAATCACTGTGTGTCCTCCCACTCTGACTTTTTTCCCCTCATTTTATACACAGATATTTTACTCACTTTCTGTGTCAACACCGTTAATCTTAGGTCAGCGTTAGCTGCTTTAATCAAATAAATATAGGTGTCCCCTCTGTCGCCCCTGCAGTGAGTTATAATACTATTTAGAACCAGACTATTGGTGTGAGTCAATGTGTGCCGTGTGTACATTATACATCCTGCAAACATGCCGTACAAAAGGTGTGTCACTGACCTCACTGTCATACCTCTGATTGTTTTTTTACAGCTCCACTCTACATTTGTGAAACCAACTGTTAGCTGCCAAAGACACAAAAACACTATGACACACTAAGACCCATCACAGAACACGTAGCTGTAGCTCAGGACGCAGATGGGGTTTATCTTCCAGGGCGGTTGCGGGTTCAAAGGCCACTGGAGTGAAAGCTGAGGTAATGACCCTCTGCAGGTACGGACAGTACACAGTACATATACTGCATACTTGCTGAGTGAAACGTTAGTATCTGCAAGATGATCAGTTTACTACTGTAATACTTTGAATTTGAACAAATGGTGTATACGATGCTGAAAGTTTCACTACTAACTTTTAACCTAAAAATAGCACCAACAGCCATGAGACGCTTTTGTCCATGCAAGAACCAGAGACTGCTACAGCCAATGAAAGTGATGTGAGAGGGAGGGCTGATGTCCTGGCCAGATCCAGCTTTGTTCCAGATGGGCAGTTGCCCACGGTGGCATCTTGTCAGGAAACAGTACAAAGTGTCAAAAACAGGTCCAAATATCATCATATACAGCAAAATTGGTCTTCTCCCACCAACGTGCCTTTGAGAAAATAGGGGTCTGAAGACACAACCTGTACACAAGGCATGGGGCCGTTATTTAACGCCACCTTTCTCTCTTAAATGGAGAATTCAGAACGTAGCAATGAGTGAAAAATGAAAATGGAAATGGAAATAGAAATCAAATATTCATACGACGTCAAACAATTAGGTGTGGAAATCTGCCCGAGCAACATATGGGCTCACGTTGGCCACAGGCTGATATAAATGATTGGCATTACTGATGCTTTGTTCCAAAGGTCAGAGTTCATTTTACATAATGCCTGCCAGCTGCTTCTCATTTTGCTTTTCATTCATCCATCCATTCATCCATCCTTGCATTCATCCGTTCACTGCTTTTCTATACGTGAGGGCGGAGCTGGAACCAAACCTGAGGAGACGGACCAAACATTCAGAACCACTTACAGATAACAAAGAATTCTGAATTCTAGGGACACGAGCTGGTGATCTTTTTGCTGTGAGGCGTCAGTGCTAACCCACCGCTCCACAGTGTCGCCCTGTTATTGTGCAGCACTGTAGAATTTCATTAGAACATTTATCAGAATCTGAGGTTGGAGGTGGGAGTGAGCGGTTACAGCGTGTTTGCCTGTGTGCACAATCCAATTACTCTGTATTATAGACTTTAAGATGGCAGTTTGAACACAGTCACTTACAACAGGCACAGGAGGCAGCGAGACGACGAGTCGGTCTCTACCCAATGAAAAATATACGACAGCAAATGTCCCCTTAACCCTAAATATTTAAATAATAATGTAGGTGAAGAGAGGAGAGGGAAGGAGGGGGGAGGAGGGGGAGACAGCAGTGATCCCTCCAGTGATCCCATACTGACTGTGGTCAGATATTTGCACCACTGGACCCGTCTTTTCTGAAGCCCCAGTATCAGCCTCACTGATCAGGTACAGATGGACTGATGACTGTGGTTCTGGCCTGACTGAACAAACGGCCAGGAAAACTTTCTGTGCGTCAGTGCGTGTGGGGAAAAAAAAGTGTTCTGAATTAAATCCTGCAAATAAGGAATGGTTGTCTGTTTTATGATTGTCTTCACTGACAACATGGCACAGATCATGTTTACAATAATAGTCTGAGGTCCATTCACAGAGTGTTTTTATCGGTTTGCTGCCATGATCATAATCGCATAAAAAAAATGTGAGATAAAAAAAAATAACCACTTTACGCATCACGGAGCCTACAGGTCCAGGAAGTGTGAGATAAAAAAAAAACACTTTATGCATCACGGAGCCTACAGGTCCAGGAAGATCTTCCTGTGAGCTTTTTTTTTTTTTTTTTTTTTTTTCCAGAACCATGCAGCATCAAAACCATCACCAACAAGAGGCGTAAAAGACACCAAATATTAAAGAGAACTTACCTTGTCTGACATTAAAAAGGTGTGTCCGGCGTTTACTGAGCAGAACAGCCGCTGTTGTTCCCGCGGTGACACACCTGCCCGGTCAACACCATGGAGACTCTCTATCCTCTGGCCATTTGTAATAACGCTGCGCACGGAGGCGAGAAAACCCGAGCAGGTCCTTGAGATGCCGCGGTGCAAAGCGCCGGAGCCCCGATGGAAGATCCGGTTGTGCGCGGCCGCCCTGGTGACTCTGTGTGACGCGCACTGGTGCTCACTGGACCTTCAATGGACAGGAAGCTCAAAATGAAATTCTCCCTCTGCTTCCTACCAGGTGATCTTTATCCACAGGCTTCGCGGGATCATCTGGACAAACGCAAATGCCAAAAAAAAAGAATACGAAAAATCAATTGAAGTTCTACTTTACGCGCAAAGGGAATGTAACCACTTTTTTCCACTGTGATTACGTTGACTGTGCAGGCGTAAAAAGTCCTCCATGTCAAAAAGAATCATCTCTGTCAGAAGTCCCGTTTTTGACCAGGGTGTCCATCTTCATCTCCTCTATTTGTCATCACATCAGGCAATTCCCAGAAGACTCCCGATCCCAAAGGCAATCCTCAACTTGTTATTCCCGTACGCTGTATCCACAAGGTGTGACTGTTTCAAACTCTGATCACCTGCAGGTTAGAAAGAAAACACAGCCCATTAGTCTGGGCTTCACCTCATTGTGCGTCCAGTCATCCCTGGAAAGGTGGATGGTACGCGACAGGGAGGCGCATTCGTTAAGGCAGACTCTCAAAAAAACAAGTAAAACTGTGTAGGAAGAAATGATTCTTCACACTGATCGACTACAGGAAAAGTGGATCTTCTCCGCTTTTCCTCCACAGTCCAGCGGCTTCAGTTTGTCCCACACGCGTCAAAACCCGGTCTTTGGGCTAAATTCTCTGTAAAGATTTTGGAGCGGGAGGAAAAGAGAGAGAGAGAGAGAGAGAGAAGGGGAGAGAGAGAGGACAGAAGGAAGGGAGGGAGGGGGACTTTAAGGCAGCAACAGAAGGAAAGGTAACTGCTGATTGGGGGCCGTACAGCTGGTTATGTCGCAACATATTCATTTATCTGCTCTCCATCTTTTGTTACGGCAGTAAATCACTGTCCCCGAGAATTAGTCTGGATGGAGAAAATTAGCTGCTCTCTGCATTTCTTTTGTGTGTGTGTGTGTGAGAGAGAGGGGGGGGGGGAGAAAGAGGGGGGTCTAGGGAAAATGGTTTATGACAGATTAAATATTTGATGAGGCGTGCTTATACCCTCATAACCAGTTCACACCAGCCCTGTAATGTGACTGTGACACAGGAGGTTAAGGTATCATGGACGGTGAGAGGAGTGGGGGCAAAGGGGGGGGCATGAAAAAAGAGAGGGAGAGAAACGGGGGAGCTAGAGAGAATAAGATAAAGAGAGAGAGCTTTGGTTTGGGGGGGGCTACAGGCAGACGTTAGATGTTTCCATCAGAGTGGTCAAGTGAACGAACAATCACAGCACGAACCCTCAGAGTTACAGGACTTTAATTCATGCAGCACGTGTGTGTGTGTGTATGAGGGGCGCACTGCGGATCGCGCTGCTAAGTGGGTGGCGACACCTTAGAACAACACTATTGAATTGTGTGTGTGTGTGTGAGTGAGAGAGAGAGAGAGAGAGAGAGAGAGAGAGGGAGAACAAGGAAGGCAGCAGCCACAGTTTTTGAAGTCGTGCGTCCTTTGACGCCCCTCTTTCAGCACCACGGACAGCTCATCAGTGTGCGGGCTCTTTCTAACGCTCCACAGCGGACTGAGAACTTCTGTTGTTTCCTCCTTTTCATCTACAAGCCCCCATTTCTACCTTCCAAAAATGCAATAAAAGCAAAAATATGTAAATCAGCAGCACAATGGAACCTTCCAGAAAACCACAAGGACAAAATGTTTCCAAGAACCAACTTCATTCTTTACAACTTATTACAGAAAAGAATGGACGGAGCCACATTTACCACCAGGCCAAAGATCACTGCGACATCCAGCTTTGAATCCCTTTCCAAGTTCAGCACAATATGCTGAACAATGTGCCAAATTATACTTCAAAAGCTGTTTTTTTATTTTGGATTAACCCTAGTAGACCGTCAGCCTCCTTCTGACCTTATCCCCTGAACTCTCCACTGTTACATCAATTGTCTCCTTTATCTTTTTCTGTTTCTCAGGCCAGAAAAGTCCATGACACAGGTCCACAGCCAAAGACTACACCTTTTTCTTCAGCCTCTAAAGTCAAACAGTTCCTCTGGTCTGCTGATTTCTACCAGTAAATAAGTCGGCACTGCCTAAAAACTACACATCATAGCACTGTCTTTACTGCAGTACCTTTAACATTACTTCTTTGTGCTCTGTATTTCTAACTGTATCTTAGTGTAAAGTTCGTTGGCTGTTTGTAATATCGCTGAGTCATTCAACATACATTTGACAGGTGGCACAGATTTAAAATCACTCCGGCAACGACAGCATTCCTCAAACCCAAGGTCACGTCACAACGGGAGCTGAAAGTCGCTCAACTTGATGATCAAGCACACGTGTTAGTTTTAGGCACTTTCCACATGTAGTGACAGCAAAATACCTACTATGGCACTTTTATACATCACAAAAGAGGAAATAAAAGACTGGAGGCATGAAAATTGTATGTTTTGCCATTGTGAGGGTATGACTAATTCAAGGCTTCTTGTGCAGAAATACCCCCGGTTGCCAGCCTGAGGTAAAGTGCGTTATTCATAAGTTGTGAATAATTGAGGTTTAGGAGCACATGAGGAAGTGTGTTGGGGGGGGGGGGGCAGGGGGGGGGATTTGCTGAGTCTGTGAAGAAATACAAAGCTTGGGTCAGGCAATTAGCAGGAAGAACAAAGACGCCACGATAGGCACCAAGTGTGTTTTAATAATAAAGAAGATGGCACTTCTTTCAGAATATCATTAACCACAGACTCCATATGACACTGGATGATTTAGACTTTTTTTTTGGTAATTTTGTTTTGTCACAACAGTCAAAAAATACTAATTGGAAACAGTGTGAGAATATCTGAAGACATGCAAAGCACAGAGAAGGGATGTCGCATCATGTTGCACTGCATCACATCATAGCACATCACGTCACCGAGTGTCACTTCACATCCATCACATCAGGTCCTTAATGTCAGCACGACTGGAGTCGCAACAAAGACAATGACACAGAAACAACACAGTCATGAAACCTGATACAATTATAAGTAAAAGATTGTTTGGATTTTTTATGGCTGTACTGAAAAGTTGTTATTCACAGACTGTACACACACTACAAACATGGTTAACACGCAGTGTGCAAAGACAAGTCAAGTCGACTCAAACGTGTTTGTTCAGCTTTAACGAGCAACACTCATTTTGCACCAATGAAAACATTGCATGAATGAAATAATTACTTACTTTAACAACTCTGACTGAATCGATATAAAATTATAACTGAATTTGTTTTTAGGACTAATACAACGTTGAACTGATGTGTGTTGATTATTATCCCGGCAAAAGAGTTTTGTTAGTGCAGAAAAATGGACTAACAAAATTATAGTAATAATTTAGAAAAAATTCCAAAAAATACATCACAACTAAGTGATTTCTAATTGGTTTGTTTTTCATGTTCTCATCTTCTAGATGTTTGAGCAACACCAGTGGAAATGGGTAATTTTTTTATTCTGAGAAAATGTGTTTTGATTATTTTTTTCAACCGCTAATTAATGTCACCTTTTACGACTGATTTAAGTTTTATGAGTCTATAAAAACTCCCGAGCTACAGTTTTAAATCATTCACTCATTCAGGTGTTAAGACACATTTTTTTCTTCAGCAAAGAGGATATTCATCCATCCTTCCATGTTTGCTGTGCCTGCATTCAGGAAAAATACAAACAAACCATGAAATCTTCCCGTCCATGTTTACTCTCACCTGCCACTGAAGAGCGAAACCAATGTGACTCAGTCTGTTTACAGCTTCACTATTTCACTTCACACACACTCACATACACACACGTAACCATACACACAGACAGCGCACACATACATTTTGATTACAGTCTCATTTCACAGTCTGCTCTTTACCTACCCAGCATTCCCCTGGAGGGATTGAGTAAATAGAAAGCTAGTTTGCACTTTCCATTATGGCCTAATTCTATTGCGCAGGCGGCTCTTATCGATCCAAACATCGAGGCAGACATGCAAGACAAGAACCAGCAGCAACAAGCATGACACGAGGCAATGTCACACTCCTTCCCATACAATATTTAAAACTTCTGCTGCTCATGTTGAACACAGTGCTAACATCCACGCCTGGCTGCGGCTCCGAGGAGCAGTATTATTTAGATTGATGAAAGTGACAGAAAAGTTTCGCCTAGAGTCTTAAAACATGTAGAGCAATGTTGCTCTTCAGATCTGTGGTTTATTTAAAACACCAGGAAAGGGATATTCATGTACTGTGACAAAAGACATAGGTAGGGGGCGCCCCCCGATCACCCGCAAGGCGGTTGCAGCAAGGCAACTAAATTCCAATTTCAATATCCTTCCTTATTTGCCTCAGTAAGAATATGGGGCTGAATGAAATGAAAATTTAGTCAGTGTAACGGGAATAACATTTTTGTGGAACGTTTCAAATTGTACTGTAAGGTTCAGGGTAGTTTTGAAACAAAACAAAACTGTTCACTACACAGAACACAGACTCATGTATGAGAAAAACTAGCACAGCACCTGCTGCTCTCTGTCTTTTCTGGTTTATTTGAATGTTTTACAGTGGTCAAAATGAAGGAAATTTTTTTTTCCAAAATGTGCTATTTTAAAGTAAATGAAAAAGTTCTCTTTCAACTATTTCAACTGCACAAAACCATCTACCGTTGATAATAAAATTGGAATATATTGTACAACCACCAAGACACTTTTACTTAACTTTTAAGTTAAATTAAATGCCCATAACTGTTGATTAGAGCCTTGATATTTATTTGTGATATTTATTTAATATTGTTACCAAATTGGAATGTTATGAGGCCTACAAGACAAAACATATTCCAAAGCAAATGAGCTGCAGTGTTATCTGCCTCGTGAGGATCTCACTGCACAGTGAGACATGTCAATGCTAGCTTGAGCTAAAAACAACAAACAAACAAAGTTAAAACGGTGGTTATAAAGTGTTGTGAACACTTTTCTTTTTCATGCAAACTGGTTTTTTTTGTCCTTCAAATACTGTATGTAAAACTGGGGTGTTCTGTTCCCACCTTTTCGTTCGTCAGATGTTGATTAATACTGCTGCACTTGCTGCTGCTCCAGATGTTACAACAGTAGCAATTAGCGACAGCGGGTCAGAGGTTCTTAAAGTTGAGCGGATGAGCTTCATGTACACTTCCTGTATGTGTTTCAGAATAAACGCTCCGAAAACGGTTACGCAGTCAAGTCTTAATAAAAGTATCAGTTGTTCGCATATTCTTTTCTTTGGCACGTGTGTTTTTGTGGTAACTGGTACAACACAGTGATTGAGATATTATTATTATGAGAATTAAGGTGATTACGTTCAATTCAGTTTTATAGTACGCTCCACTCAGTTCCTCGTTAGTATAGTGGTGAGTATCCCCGCCTGTCACGCGGGAGACCGGGGTTCAATTCCCCGACGGGGAGGCTAAAATTATTCTTAATTTTCCGAGGGATTAATAAAGATCTATCCATATCTATATATCCATATATATATACATTTATTTGTCAGTACGGTTGGTATAGTGTAACTTTACTTCCTCATGCGTTAGCATCAGGTGGCAATGGAGTTCCATTACTGCCACCTTATGGCTCTATATTTATATATATATATATATATATATATATATATATATGAAGACCTTTTTCATCTGGTAGCATCTCCACCACTTGCATAAGACAAAGAAAATACCAAACAATAAATATAGTAATTGTGCTGTCAATACAGACTGGAGCTCGATTAAAGAGACTAGGAGGATTACTTTGGATGGGATATTATTATACATTCTATGATTATTCATAGAAATATGTGCATTAGGGCCTCGCTGTGAACAAGACGTACAGTAAATATAAACAACTGTGAAATATGTTGTCAGTCCAAAATTAAACTGTGGTAAACGATGTCAAACTATAGGGAATAGCCTGGATTTAAAAAATCCCCATTCATGAGTCTTCTCTGTATTTAGACAACTTTATTTTACTGCCCATTATGTTTAGTTTATCACTGACAGACACCAGCGGCCTCATCATAATCACTGTGTGATGATTGTCAGCTCCTCCGTGCAGTTTTGTCACTTTGAACAATGTCTCACTTGACAGCTCTGCTCTCACAAAAGTTTATGGAGCAGAATTTTACTGTATTATTTATCCCGTGCTGCTAGAATGACAGCATCCTGGGAGGTATATTGTTTCATTTAGCCACTTATAGATATGAATCAAGAACCCCCATCCACAAATCTGTCCAGCACTGACTTGATTTGCAGAAAGATGTTTGGAACGGTGTGACCAAGCATGAAACAAGGCATAATAAATGTAGGTTTCACAGCTACCTGATGGACACTGTAATAAATGACTGATACCCAAAGGCACTCACTCACATTTAGAACATTGTTTATGGGGGGCTTTGATTTTAAATCCAGTTTTTAAGGAGAGTTAGTTTGATAGTGTGACTCATTACATGCCTTCAAGGAGAAATGTTTTCCCTTGATGTTTCTAAGTGTGATCATTGTGTGATCATTATGTGTTCATGTGTTAAATTACACCAAAACTGTGAACTATGTATATATATACACCAGGTTGTCACTTTTTTTGTGTTATCTTCATCAAAATAAAATATATATATATATCCCGATATCACACCACAAACACTCTATGCTGATGATACTTATTCATTCCCAACAGACAAGTGAAACAACAGTGGCCAATAAACACAACACTTGCAACATAACAGAGGTGGTTAAAATCTGTCAAGGATAAATTCTGTGTAATGGCCGACCTATTTACTTGCACATTTACTGTTTTTCCCGTAACTGTTACAGAGGCAGCTCTCTCCTGGATTTTCCCAGGTGCAGGCTGTAAACAGCAGGGTTGATAATGCTAACTTTACAGTACTGTTTGACCTCCATATGTGCCACGCAGTGAAGCCCTGGTGCTTGACATTTGAAGAGGCTCTCTTCATGCAAAGGTCACCTGTGCTGTTGTTTATACATGTGATACACACACACACACACACACGTGTCACAGCAAGACAAATCCAGGATGGCGTAACCTCCAAAGCGTCACTGAAGTTGTGTGTCCTATGGATTTCTGCTGCTGCAGATTGACACTTTGGAATTGTTGTCCTTTAGAAATAGAACCTGGAGAACCTGGAATGAGCATGTTTGTGGAACTAAACCAGCACACTGAGATTTTGTAGACACATTGCAAACGTTGTTACATGTACATTACATGTACATCAAACTTTGTTACATGTACATTACATGTACATCACATCTACAATTCTCTCAACATTTTCTGTGTTGCAAACACAGAAACATACAATAGGCAGTCTGAATAAAGTCACGTACAAGCTAGGCTAACTCTGCTAGCATTTGGGTTGGAGCTGCACTTCACCAATGCTTACTTTTTACCTAGTATATTTGGCTCCATGCTATATTTTGTACATCAAGTTAAAGCCACAGTTATTGCGTAATCCATAGTGTATCGAGGGTACATTGAGGTTTTGTACTATCACGGTACTCAGATGAGTCGAAGGTAAGGTGAGACAGCCTTGCAGAATATGGATCCAGAACTGCAGTCATCTCAGGGTGAGCCCACGCACATCTCAATATGTGGCTGATAGCTACTGTGTAAAAATCTGGAGTCATGCTGGCGCTAAATATAGACGGAGAATTTATGTAAGCTAAGGTGAATCATCCCATTCCACACACATTTCAGTACATCTACTGTCACACACACACACACCACGTCACTGACAGGGAAACACAGTGATGTGTGTTAGACATCCTCCATACTCTAAGGATCGGATTTAGAAAACAGCGTATGTCTGTCGTCTGCCTGCTGAGAACACACATTTTCACAGAAGGTTTATTTGTGTGTAGGTGTGTTTTACCAGGGCATTTAATAAGCCAGGTGATTTGGATGTGTTAATCCAAGCCCTGTTTTATAGCGTGATAGACCATGGATCAACTGCAATAAAAGATGAAGAGACAGGGGTTATATTTTACAGATTTTCCTGTATTTCTTTGTTTCATAAAGCTGAAAAAGTATATGTGAGTAAAGATCAGGTGTGGTGATCAGTAGAGTACTCAGGACCACATACTTGTACAAGTACAAAGCCTTTTTGAAACCACTGCAAAGGTCTGTTGGTTTTGTGTCAACACATATACATATTGAAAACACATTGAACAGATTGATTAAGTGGTAAAGTTATATATTTTCATTAAAAAAAACATTTCCTTCTGACAAACTTAAACCCGACAACTTGGTCCCGACATCAGTGTTTTTTGTTTACGAATTTGTAAGAAATAAATTAGAGATGTTATCTTTTAATGGCAGAGATACTGCTAAGCAATGTGTGCCATCCTATTGACGTGAATCCAAATTGCCTATATTGTTTACATGGCAACAGTGACACCAAGCGGTTAGAATATGTAATTGCGTCCAAAAATGACACGTAAATCTACAGTTTACACCAAAGACGACATTGGTCTGGAGTGACCACCTGTCCCGCTTTACGGAAATTCAAGATTTTGTCTCACTTTTTGATTAGATATTACTTAACTGAATATAAACTATTTTATGTACCTGGCTGCCTATCAGTGCAGTCCATAGCAATGATAGGTGACTTCGTGGATGAGGCGGTAGCTGACAGGCTGAGTGGTGTGTCAATCAAACTGCTGACTCGCAGCAATCGCACACACTTTAGCGTCTTAAATCATAGAGCGCGCGGTTGTTTTGATACAGTGAAGGCGCCCATGTGCAGTGTGCCGGAAAAAAAAGACGCCACCCTTTGGCTGATACCGGTGGATGGTGACTCTGAACCAGCATTCTGGAATTGGTGTCTAAACGGCTTCTCTGTCGGACATGGTAATTAATCTGATTGGAAACGACACCTGTGCACGTGAGTCTCACAAAACAAATACACAACAGAAAACACCAGAAGTTTGCAGTATTTTTTTGCAGTGTTTACCATGCAGTGCAATAAGCACATTTATATTGGTCAACTGACCATTTACTGACAATTTATGTCAAATGTGGAAGAATTAAGATAATACATAGATAAATACATTGCAAAATGTGTGTACTTTTCATGTTTAGGTTATGCCTTGGGTACTATAGAGTTTTTGTTTTGTTGTTTTGTGTGAGTAAAAGGCGAGATACGTGCATGTTACAAGTGTAAAAAAAAGTGATTGCAGCTGTCCCTCATTGTCCCACTCAAACCTTCTACTTTTCCCGCAGCTTGTCGGTTTGGAGGTGGTCGCCCTACATTGGTCTGAAATACACAGAGTCAAGCTGCCATCATGAAAGGGTGAACTTTAATCCACATCGTTACAGACAAACTTCCTAAAGGTCACAGAGGTGGAATGTGTGGCAGGGAAAACAAGTAGAACATGCAGCATGTTGAGGCAACTTTAGAGAGCAACTGGTCACCGACTACTTTTTAACTAAACACTGCAACATAAACAGTCTAACGACAGGGGCTTTAGACCCACATCACATTAAAGGATGTCATTTGTGAGCGTCATTCCACATGTTTTCTTTCAACATTAAACATTTTAACCTGGCAGTTATATTTTAAATATTCCATCTAATTCAAACAAATGCAGCATTAATTTTCGTTTTTTTCATCTTGTTAAGAAGTCAAATTTTAACATGATACAATATGATGCAAGCCAGGATGAATTTGTGGATAAAATGTGACAGAATAAGTAAAAAAAAATGAAATAAAATTAAACAAAACAGTACACCCTTCCAAAAATTACTTGATCTGGATACTTGTAATACGAGCATCCCCATCATAGCTCATGCACGAGTACTTCTCTGCACCTAGGCGGTTAGGGAAGTGGATTTGAGAGCCATCTGATAAAGTCACCAGGAACTCCTCAGGGCTGAACTCAATGATAATCTGAACAAGAGAAAACACGGAGAACATGAAGGTTAAATGATGAAGCTTTATTTTAAAATATGACCCTGTTGGGAACGAACCTTGAACTCCTCTCCAAGTTGAAATGGAAAGCCCCCTTGACGGACCTCCTCGCACCAATTTCCTCCTTCATAAGAGTTGCAAACCACAGCATTCTCGTCTCCATGGGCGTTAAAGCGAGGGTTCATATGAAAAGTGAACTCATTCTCAGAGGGGCCAATATTTATAGAAAAACTGTGAGGTAAATAATGAAAAAGAACATGACTCATCTGGCTTGAATTAAATTAGAAAGTAATAGTTTTCAGTATTGGAAATTAGTGTGATGGCTTCTGCGTGTATATACATTTAACGGACAAAACCAGCAGGTGGCAGTAAATAAAAGAAGAAGAAACTAGAGTTTTTCTGGTTAGCACAATTAGCTTAACCAAGACTTAAATGAATGACTGGTGTAAATTAACAATATCAGCTATCTAGCTGTTTTATGTTTCAGAACTCTTAAATACAATGGATTATATTTACACGTTTTAAATATTTACATAGTCTTTGGCTTACTTGGAGGCATCAGGTTTGGCTACTCCCACAATGGTCAGGGTCTGTCCAACCTTGAAGGACATGTTTTTTACAACCATACCCTGAATAAAAATAAAAAAGCAGTAAAGGTTAGTATTACTGTGTATTAATTGTACAGTAAACGACAACTGCAGCAATAGCCCCAAACGACTCTGCAATCCTGTCCACGTCCCTAGAAAATATAAAACATGTGTTTTCAATTATCCTCCTACTGATTGTGTTGCTCATGGTTTCCAGCAGCTCTTTCCTGTCTGACAGCTGCAACGGCCTTTTTTCCACTACACCGACTCAGGGAGATATTTCAGTTGGTTAAATACAAAATGGCAAATTCACAGTTGGAAAAGCTGGCTGAGCACAGCAGAAACATCTCGCTACAACACAGAATAATGCTGCCAATATGGAGGAGCAGTATATCATTAGGTGGTGATTCAGCGCTGTTGAACAATTTGTCCTTTGTTATGTTATAGGGAGTGTCTGGTACAGATGTGGAAGTCATTTCATCATTTAAATACTGTTTGTAGTTTGAAATAGGAATTTACTGAAAATACTGAAAAAAATATATCTTACCTATTGCAAATATTATAGTTAGTTATTATTATTTTTCTTTTTTCAAGCAACACCCAAGGTTTAATTGATTAGGTACATCCACAGGCCACATCTTTCATTTCATTTAACTGAAAATGACAACAAAGCTATTTCTCAGTAATTGCAAATGTGTTATTTTGTGTCTTCAGGCTTTCTAAGGACATTAATGTGGACAATTCGTGGAGGACCATCTTAGAAGATACAGCTCTAAGGTCTGGTCACACCCATCTGTTAATAAGGTACAACAACAGACTTCAAATATTTTTCTCTGTGAAGGTTATCTCAGACATAAGTCCAGTCAAGACAAAGTGGTTAATTTTAGCTCTCAGGGTCATAAAGCTGTGGATCCACTGCTGCCTCCTGTGGTCAGTTTACGTCCACATATATGAAAATAACAGTCACAAAAATAAAACATTTGGACTTTGTGATAGGGACAACAGTGAAGCCACAAATGGTAAAATGACAGATTTGGTAAGTGGAAAGTGTAAAACATCTTGCGGTTGCTCCATCAGTTATTCGAAGGAGCTGATTGATGGTGCAGTTGTTAATGGTGGTCCTGTATGTTCAAATGCCTAACCTTTATTTTTTCGAGAAGGCAACTTAGATATTAAGAAGAAGTCCAATTAACGGGGATCTTCAATGGGGGGATACTGCAGAAACTAAGACTGTCACAACAAGGTTAGCATTGAAATGATGGATGAATCTCAATGGTTACATTGGTTAAAACAAGTCACAGTAAAACAGACAGTGTGTGGTGTATGTATGGTTTTTTTTTACCCTAGCAACTGAAGCAAAGTTTAGAGAAAACCACAGAAAGTATAATAAAAGGAGCAGAAGTGATACTATGATATGGGTACGACATTCTTTCCATACTAGAGTCCAACTGTAAAGTGAGTGCAACACATGCTGCTGGGACTGGAGCTGTGAGCTGTGCTGAAGGTGGAGCTGGCTGCCACCCTACACTTCTTCTTTAGTGCTGTCTACGAGGATAGTGCACACGGTGACCGTCCAGTAGCATTTAGTTTATCTTCAGCATGGGTTTTAGCTCATCCTTAAATGTAATTTGAACTCCCTTCCTATAACCACATAAAACTCCTCTAGTTTTGCCAGATGATATATTTTTTTCTCTAAATCTACATATATAGAGAGAGATAAAACCCACATCCTTATTAGAAGGGAATCAACAAATATTAACAGGCGTTTCTGATATATCAAAAAAGCTATAATAACACAAACAGTTGACTTAGTTCAACATTTATAGCTGCTGGGAAAACCAGCACATGTGACTGGTGTCTATTGAATAGTTTGACCAAAAAAGGCACTGACGGGAAAAAGCTCCTCAATCCAGACCTAACTCAGAGTCTAGAGCAAAGTCAAATGCAGCAGAGAAGCCGATTCTGTTACATCAGCTTGCAGGACACAGAGTGAGCTGGCAAATGTCAAGCCAACGACAGTCAGTTCCACTTTTTAAAATATAACCTAAGACCACAGTTTATCTAAACACGATGAGCAGAAGTCATGCAGAAACACAGTTTGATCCTTAAATGATACCTACATTCATCATTTTTGCAGATGGAATCAGGGAGTTCAGCAGAGGAGAAACCAGAGTGATGCAGGCAGGGCCCTCTGTTCCTTTGGCCTTAGATATATGCAACGTGGGCGTAACCTTTTATTTGAGTGACATCTAAAACAGCCAATAGAATCACGTCTTTAGTAAACTAGGACAAATGGGTTAGAAGTGAATATATAGACCTTAAAAAACAAATTAGAGGTTACAAAGTGAGTGCAGACCTTAAAGTGAAGTAGTGAAAAATGGTGACATGGAAATTCCAGATTTGAACTTGTAGGTTTGCAGGGTATGGCTCTGAGAGGGAGGCAAGGCCAGAGTGGCAGACAAAAATAGAACTGTGTTTGTTACCAGGGAGATCACTAAATATTTGGAATAGCCAGAAGATTTAAGCTCTGACCACTTTTAACGTACAGTGATTGTATGGCACCACGTATAAAGCCATATACTATATAGACATTAGGCTAGAAATAAAACCCACAAAAGACGGGGAAACATACTTAAACTGTGCCAACAATTAAAAGAACAGAAATTTCTGAGTCCCAGCCAGCACACAGGCTGGACTTCTACAGCTGCCACAGCTGCCGCGGCTCACGAAGACATAAGTCGCATGCTCGGATACTCTACATCCCACTGGAGATTAAACTAAGTGAATCCTCTAGAAGCTGCAAACATATATTTAGAGTTTGTTGTTGTAGCAGAGAAGATAAAAGCACTCATTTGTCTCCTTGCTGCAAAAATCTTAATACAAACTATATTTCCTTGCCCTGATTTAAAATGCTCTGTCTCAGAGATGTTCTATCTTGGTAGTGAAGAAACAATGTCCTCTTTTTTACAGGACAGAGTAAAATGCTCTGTCTCAGAGATGTTCTGTCTTGGTAGTGAAGAAACAATGTCCTCTGTGTTTTAATACAGTGACCATTGTTTGTGTTATTGCCGAGTTCCCGGACTCCTAATAGTAATGTCAGCTGACGTCTGGTCTAAACAGACGTGTCCAAATAGTTTTAGGAGGGGTGGAATTCACTCCACTAGGACGAGATAACAATTATAATAAAATTACAGCAAAATAAATCAAAGTCTAAAGTCTAGCTTTTGCTGAATGTCTCCAACATGGCACAAATAAGGAAAATATTGCCCATCTGCAATAGCCCAGTGCCTGGTAAGGAAGGCCCCCCCTACTTTGGAAACCACTGTACAGTTATTGTAAATACCTCACTAAGATTATCTGCTGCCATTTCCCTTTAAACAGGATGGACATTTAAAAATAAATGTTAAAATATAAATTTGTCCAATTGAGGAAGACTTAAAACTATCTTTCGGGACAATAATATCAGGAAATGGGGTTAATGCAGTGCTTCTCAAAGTGCTGTGCAGGCCCCACTGGTGGGAGCAGAGATGTGATAGGTAGGACACAACAGTAGGACATTTTCAAGGTTGTGTTATGTTATTGATTCATTATAAAATATGATGTTACTTGGTGTTAGTTCAATAAATTTGAAGTTTAATTTGTCAATATTTTTGGACAGGTGGCACTGGAAAATCACCAATACTTCAAAGTGGGGTATGACCAAAAGAATTTGAGAACCACTGGGATAACTATCAAGAGGGCAAGCCCCCACCCTGCAAACCTGTGATCTAAAGCAATACTGCCCTCTGTCGGTTTGTAAACCTTACTACTTTTCCGTAATAATAATGTAATTCAACTTAAAATCAGAGCCATTACATTATTTGGAAAGAATGTAAATGTTAAACATTTACAAATGTAAACAACGGGTTGCATTATACCATATAAAAATCTGATGTGTGTTTTGCTTCAAATCAGTGAACATAAACAGGGAATCCCTATCTAGATGTCAGAGGTCAGTCTTTGGATTGACTAAATTACTGCATTGCTTCTGGTTCCCTGCAGTTTCATCAACTGTAGCTGCACTGTGATGACGTTCTGTTGTCATGGTCGTGAGGAAACTGTAATCATATGAACCACCCCTTCGTTTACATTGGCCCACTGCCTTTTTTTAACAACAGTCACTCGAACACTACTGGTGAAAACACGGTAAAGGGTGTGAAGCAACACACACCTCCTCGTTATTATTAATGAGGCCGTTTCAGTTTATTTTTAAATGGCTCGGACCCAACACGGCTACACCTTGACAAACAGTTTGTTATTGTAGTGTTAACTGATTGACGTTGTGCTGTCTGGAGCGTAGTTTTGACTGTGCAATTAACGTCAGCCTGTGGAGCTTCGGACAGTGCAGCGTGCGGGTCAGTGTGTGTTTGTTTGGAAAACAGTCCGTCAGCATTACAATTGAAAAGGAGCTTTAAACTGAATTCTGTCAGCTTGAGGGACGTAAATAAAATGGCTTCCATAATAGCGGAGCATGAGCCAGGCTCCATACCGCTGACTGATACGTTAGTACCCGCAAGTATATTCGCGCCGGAGCGGGGAGGATGCGGCGACGACAACGGGGACGAGGGCTTAGAGGAGGCGGATATGCTGAATGGCGAGCCCGAGGACTGCAGGCTTGACTTCACTAACAAGGTAAAACTAGGCCTCAAATTGAATGCAGCTCCGATGCTAATGCTAGTTAGTTTCCTCGCATTCAAATGAATGAAACATATAATGCCACCAAATATTTGCATGTCGGTGTGTTACTAGCAACAAGAGTTTGCAGCACTTTAGTGACATATTTGAAACGACAGTGATTTTGTGATGTAAGGAATTTGATATTTTAGTGTGAAACATTGCGTTGCTAAACGTTAGCCTACCCTAACGCCTACACATTCTGCCGTCACTTTACAGTAAAACGCTGCGGATGGTGCTACGTCAGCTGTTTTTATTCAAAACAATTCTGTTCCACTGTAACTACCATGTTTATTGCGTATGTAAACTGATGAAATATAGTGCAACTCTATGGATCATGTTTCCTGCTCTACAATCAATAGTACTGGGTCGCTGGAATTTGTTAAACCCATATTGTTTTGTGTCGGTAAAATGACACATTGCACTGCTGTTACATGAAGCATGAACGTCTTGCTTCAGGTTGCATCAGTAAAAGGCAGGTCCTTGTTCACCTTTGGCTCCTGTCACAGACATGTCTGAGTTTCTATCTTAGCCAATAAACCTATAAATCTATAATTAGACTTGCTCAAAACGAATAGACTATTTTAAAAAAAGATGTTCCTCAAGGATGTATGCAAAGTTTCAGATCCTTTTTAACCTTTTAACCTCTACTCCACTTGATAGTGTTATCATGAGGTATTGCATTCAATTAGTTTTACTGATATAAGAACAATATGTGGCAACATGTCTCCTAACACAGAAGCAATTAATACCTTTTTAACTATAATGGATTGTAACAAAAATATTTATTTTTAAAACGCAATGCAACTTTGTCCTTGTTGAGTTGAATTTGAAAGAAACACAGAAAAACGTATCTTTCTTGTTCTCTTCAACACCATCACAGAGACTATGATACTATTAAATGAATGAATAAATAAATACATGTAATGAAAGATAATTATGATCTCATTCATTATGGGAAAATGCTGTCATGTTTAAATAAGCAGAACCATCTCAGAAAATTAAATTGTCTGTTTTGTGTCTGAGGGAAAAAAATGAACAAAATAAGTTCATTTTTTTCAAAGCCCTTTGATCTATTTGTCCTTTAAAAACATGCGCTAGTTCCATGTGACCTGCAGCAGTTTTCGTGGGAAGAGACACTGCTGTGTTCGTGTTCAGTCCAAGGACTTGTACAAATAATTCAATGGCTCATCCATCCTTGCCTTTTGTTTTTTCCTAATTATAATGTTTTTCTGTCCTTGTCTCTTTTGGTAACCAACAGCAGGCTCTTGTTAGTCCAAATGGAGACCAGTACGACTCATTGGTGCGGCAGCTACGGGACAGGATGGAGGAGGGATGTGGGGAAACCATCTATGTGGTTGGAATGGGTTCAGGTAAGATACAAAGTGTCCACATGTGAATGAACTTGGCCATTATAGTTACTTCTATTTCTATTTTCCTGTGTGTTTTACTAACCTTTAGTGAAGTTAACTTCATTTCAACTTTGGTACAGATGGCAGTGACTGGGGTCTGGACGACAAAGACATGGAGGCCTCGGTGGCCACGGTGCGCTCCATGTGCGAGCAACTGGACGCAGACCTCATATTACTTCGGGAGCGCAATGAGACTGCAGGATTGGTGCGTGACTATCTGATTAGAAGACGTGTGGGTGAGCTGGACTTCTTGGAGGTCAGGTGAGTTATCTGATGAGAAAAATATTTTCTCTATGAACTCTATGTAAGCTGTCAGTTTATATTGTAAAAAAATCTGTTTAAATTGTAAATAAGAGACCATGTTTTTTTTCATGGACAGATTAGAATGCCCTTTTTTACACTATTAATATTTACTGACCATAGTAATTGGTTTTCCTGTGTCCCTCAGAGTTGCAGTTGTAGGTAACGTGGACGCCGGTAAAAGCACACTACTGGGCGTATTAACACATGGAGAGCTGGACAATGGCAGGGGATTTGCCCGACAAAAGCTTTTTAGACACAAGCACGAGATGGAAAGCGGCAGGACCAGCAGTGTGGGCAACGATATTCTGGGCTTTGACCAGGAGGGGCAGGTGAGGGCTCTGTTTAAGCCACATACCTTCTTCACATTAGTTTTTTAACAAGCTTCAATATAGAGAGGATGAGGATATAGAATGTGCTGTGGGCCTCTTTGTACCACATAAATTGGGCTTCAAGGTCAAAAAGGTTAAGAACCCCTGCTTTATTCTATATATTTCTGTCCCTGACATACAGTACTTGACCTTGTGTTTCCCGTCTTATTTATATATATACTGGTAACACCATGATAGATGTAATGTGACTGTTGAAAGCGTCTTTGTGTCTAGGTGGTAAACAAACCAGACAGCCACGGGGGAAGTCTGGACTGGACCAAAATCTGTGAGAAGTCATCCAAGGTCATAACCTTCATAGACCTGGCTGGCCACGAGAAATACCTGAAGACCACTGTGTTTGGGATGACGGGACACTTGCCTGACTTCTGCATGCTTATGGTCAGAACAAAATCTCAGACTTATTTATTTGGCAGTGATTCATTGAAGCCGTGTTAGCAAAAGATCTTTTTTTTTTGTTAAGGTTTTGAGGGAAATATTTTGAATCATTTTCCTCTTTTCTCCAGGTTGGCAGTAACGCAGGTATTGTCGGGATGACCAAAGAGCATCTTGGGTTGGCGTTAGCTCTCAATGTGCCAGTGTTTGTGGTGGTAACCAAGATAGACATGTGTCCAGCCAATATTCTTCAAGGTCAGGCTCAGACAACAGAAGTTATGGCTCTACTTCATGTGAAAAAAAACATCATCTGCATACTTAAGGAAAAATAAAACTGTATGTGATATTTCTCTCCCCTGAACAGAGACATTAAAGCTTCTTCAGAGGCTACTGAAATCTCCTGGTTGTAGGAAAATTCCCGTTCTGGTGCAAAACAAGGATGACGTCATAGTTACTGCTTCAAATTTCAGTTCTGAGAGGTAATAAATTTCTCCCGGCTAAATGTTCAAACTTTTCTCTCTCTTTCTCTCTTTCTAATGTCTTTGTCGGAATGTGTGTCCAGGATGTGTCCAATCTTCCAGATATCCAATGTGACTGGAGAGAATATGGATCTGCTTAAGATGTTCCTCAACCTGCTGTCCTCCAGGACGTCATACAGGGACGATCAGCCGGCCGAGTTTCAGATCGATGACACCTACTCTGTACCGGTACGCTGACAGATTTATCACACACCTAAAAATCCTTCGCTAAATTATCTAAAAACCACTGCTTGTGTCCTGTTTGTACCTCAGGGTGTTGGCACGGTGGTGTCAGGGACTACTTTGCGTGGACTCATACGCCTGAATGATACTATGCTGCTGGGCCCAGATCCTCTGGGCAGCTTCATCCAAATTGCTGTGAAATCGATCCATCGTAAGAGGATGCCTGTGAAGGAGGTCAGAGGAGGTCAGACCGCATCGTTTGCTCTCAAAAAGGTGAAGAAGGGTTATCAACAGGAGGCTGTTCAATGCTTAAGAAAAAAAAAAGGTTCATCATAATGTTCATGTTTGCAGTCTCAGAAATTCTATTACTGCCTCTTGCACAGATCAAGCGTTCGTCAATAAGGAAAGGCATGGTGATGGTGTCGCCCAAGTTGAATCCACAGGCCACCTGGGAGTTTGAGGCCGAGATCTTGGTGCTGCATCATCCAACGACGATATCCCCAAGATATCAGGCCATGGGTGAGAAACCGTCTCAACAGAAAATAAGTAAAAAAAAAAAGGAAATTATATCAGAAGAAAACGTGCACTCACCCAACTCTCTTTGGTCACTGCACAGTTCACTGCGGCAGCATCAGGCAGACGGCCACCATCTTGTCCATGAACAGGGACTGCTTAAGGACCGGGGACAAAGCTACAGTCCACTTCCGCTTTATTAAGACCCCAGAGTATCTGCACTGTGACCAGAGGTTGGTCTTTCGAGAGGGACGCACTAAGGCTGTGGGAACTATCACTAAGGTAGGAACTCCTGCTTGACAAATCAATTATGTAAAAACCCTGCTCTCAGTGGTCCAAATGTTAATGCGTAGTTTATATTAAAAGAGTAAAAGCAAACAAACCTATTTGTGCTGTATTTTGTTCCTTAAATATGTGAGAATTGATAAGAAATGTAACCAATAAGTGATATCGATGGGTTTTTTTTTTTTACTTAATTTTTTAGCTTTTAACCAATAAGTGATATCGATGTTTTTTTTTTTACTTAATTTTTTAGCTTATTAACTCATTTAACTACTTTCCAGCTGTTGCAATCCACCAATAATCTGCCGACAAATTCCAAACCACCACAAATCAAAATGCAATCCACGAAAAAGGTGCCACTACGCAAAGAAGACGGATCCACTGGAGCTGGTGATGACGCAGCTACGATAGCCCTGTCAGCAGGGCCAGGCACGACACAGCAGGTAGGTCATATATCTTTGGGATTTTCTTTTTAGTAAAATATCTGTTGCTGTGCCTGCATTTTCTTTATTTACTCTGTAACTGGACTAAACAATACTATGTTCTCCTCTTCTTTACCTTTTACTTCATCCTCCATATTTAATTTTGCCTAATTTTTTCACAAATCCTAATGATGTCACGCCACATTGTATTTTTTTTTTACCCCCTCTCATTTTTTACCGTTCCTCTCATTTGCTTGCGTATCCACCTCCTAAGGAGGGAGAGGAGGACCCTCAGATAAAGGAGGGCAACAAAGAAAACAAGGTAAAACAGGGTGATTAAAAATGAAGCAGAGCAGGAAAAGAAACTGAAAATTTGCTCCAAACTATGAGATTTTTAAAATTATTATTAGCCAAGTCAACATCTAAGTGGAGTCCGTCTTATTGGCTCAACATCACCAGTACAGTCCTGACTTTTCAAATATCCAGAGTCTGTTCTCGTTAATCACCGTTATCTCTTTTGTAGCCAAAGTCTGGAGGAGGTGGAAGGAGAAGAGGAGGCCAGAGGCACAAGGGCAAAGGTCAGAACAGTGGCACCAACACCACAGCGACCCCCTCCTCCGCAGGAGCCGGCAGCTGCTGAACTCTCCCCTGATCCCACGCAGAACTCCTCCCTCGTGACCACTCCAAATGTCTTCATCCCACCAACCATGAAGGATCGTGACGTTCACAGTGAGACACTTGTCCCCATTTAAATTATGTCCTAATGCCTTTTTACACCTGGTCTTAATGTTTTAATTTTTTAAAAAGGGAACTCAAAGGGTAACTCCCCCCCCACCCCCAAGAGAAAGGTAAACACATTTTATGCATTTTAATGTCAGCTGCTTTTGCTATTACTTTTTTAAAAATGTTTGGATAGAGGTAATCAGTGTGGTTTTTGAGGTCAGCCTCACTCAGGATGATGATTCTTTAATTCTATTCATATTTTAAAGTGTCTGGGAAATCAACAATTCATTCCTTGGACTCAAGTGTTTTTAATGAGGAGGTTAGCTAAACCCATACCAAGGAAACAAGAGCAGCTAGATATATATATAAAAAAAATCCTCCATGCATTCCCTGTATATTTGAAATGTAAAACATTTGAACTATTTATACCGCATATGAGAAATAGCTGTTGTGCTCCGATTAAAGCAAGCCACTGTACAAAGTGTATGCAAATCACAAATGAATGTAGCAGAGGGCACATAGTTATTGAGAGGTTTAGATGTATGGAAAGGGTGAGCTGTAAGATTTCATTTGATCACTTCCATATTGGCAAGAGTTTGACTTCTAGAATCCATCTGCACCTGTAGTTTCAGTCTGCAATGTAAACATGGTAGTACAAACAGAAACCACACAGAAAACCTGTCACTCTCATATCTGTTCACACAGTATTTGTGCACTACCCCCTGCTGGTTGCATTACATGTTGTGACAACTTTGGCTGCTATAGAACCTGACCGACAATAAACAGATCTTAAGGAACTTTAACAGTGCAACCTGTAAGTATGTGTTATTTGTTACCGAAACATGCAATTACTACTATTTGGTTAGCAGGGTTTAATTGAAATGCACTATTGGTGTTAAAGCTCTTCTCACTTTCTGTTAAGCTGGCTGTTTTATCTATGCAGAAAGAATCAAATATTGTTTTATTTATTACATGCTAGCCCTGCAGAGTGTACCAAAAAAACACTTCGTCTGTTTCTAAACCATTATAAAAACCACCTGTTAAATGAGTTGTTATTTTGCAACAAGGTCACAAATTTACATACGGACTTGTCTGCTTATACACACATACACGTATGTAACATTTATTTTACTGTAGATTTTGTAACACAAAGTATTTCCTTCATTTACAATGTATCATACAGGTCCAATACTGCACACTACCACACGTTGATGGTAGTACACACATATACACACACCCTCAGACTTGCACCACGAAAGAAAGGCTTCTGTGTGTGCAACATTAGGAAGTGTTCTGGTTTATGGTGACACTGAGGTAAGTAGCATTCTAAAAAAAAACAAACAATGGCACTAGTCTATGGCCCTACATTTAGGAATGTCTCTTAAGGTGGTCTCCATCATTGCAAATGTGTAATATTACACAGAATAACCTTTATGATCAGCTGTTTATGCGCTTGGTATACACACACACACACTTGACCGATAAAAGAATAAACTGTACATGGCACTCCTCTGGGAAACACACTCACCTGTTTTTTTGTTGTTTTTTTAACTTCAAATCTGTTTAGGTACAGACAGATTTGTACTTAACTAATAATAAACGTATTATAAAGTCTGAAACATAAATAAAAACAATTTTGACTTTGTCTAAATAAAACTTAGAATGCAATACGATAAACTAAAGAAAAACATTTTAAATAAGTACTTTCAGTCTTCATTCTAAGGCTGTCATCTATGTGTGTAGATGTAACGTGTGTGAGGAGTACTCACGTCACATTTAGGACCGACAGTCTTTCAGAAACGGGTAAAGAGACAGAAAATATTACACAGACGTAGGGACAGCTCAGCTGTGTAGACTATCCATCGATGTCCCAGCTGAAGAGGTGGTGTTTCACCAACATGTCCTGAACACCTTCCTTTAACGGTTTCTGCTCCTTCTCCTTAAAACACAGACGTTTTACTCCAGTTAAATGAGGAAAAAACACGGTAACATAAATACTCCCCTTGCAGTTTGTTTCACTCTAAAAAAAGAATGCAAAAAGGTCAAATCTGTAATTTGGTAATTGATCTTATCCAATAACCAAGTGTAATTAATTGCATACATTTCAAGTTAAAATTAATTAATTAAAATTTTAAAAATCATATTTTGCAGTTTATTCTTTGTATTCAAGAAATATAAAACTGAAATGAAATTAAAATGTATATCCTCTGCTGCAACCCCTATTTGTTGGAAACCACTGATCCAACAAGTCATCACCCAGAAAATAAAAAAAAATCTGTACATCACAGCAAACATTATGATGCTGATATTGATTTCACCAAATCCCTGATGTCTTAAATAAAAAACAAATAGTAAAAGTAATTAAATCTACAGACAGTACAGGAGGGTCTCTAGTACAACTACTCACTACACTAGAGCGCTCTCTGACTCTTCTACCATCAGGTTACCTAGAGATCCCAGCTAAACAGGTGATGCTGAACCAGCACTTCCATTACTTGTTCTCTCAGTATAGCCATTTTCTGAAACAGCACAAATATAATTGATTTGGTGAAATGTCTCGTGTTCACCCTGGTGAAAACAGCTCTGCTCACCTCCTTCTTGTTGGGTAGCTCACAATCCTGGGAGAGACTGAAGGCAAACTTTGACAGGACCCTGTTAGAAAACAACAACAACAAGAACCTGGTCATTTATTTCATCCCTCAGATCATGGGTTTTTTTTAATAATGAGATCTTCTGTGGCATATTTAAAAGTTTTCTGTTCATCAGTGTTAATTTTGATGTGAAAGACTAAGTCAACGACAAACACGATTAAAAAAAAGTAAACAAATGAATGAGTAAATACATTAAAACAAAACTTAAGCTGTCGGGGACATAGTCACAGAACAGGAGTAACAGGTAAGGAAGAGAGCCAATCAGAGCTAAGTTTGTAAGCTCAAAGATGGGACATCCAAACAGAGCTCCAACCTTAGTGAACATGTGAAGTAGTAGAAGCCAGAAGAGAGAGAGAAAGTGCGTCTTTACCTAAGCTCACACTTTATCTGCACCCATCCAGGACTGCGGAGAAACGACCACGGGTGATACCACTTTTCTACGGCAGTCATGCTGGAACACAACACCTCCAACCACAAATGTAACACCTGCTCACTGGAGGAAAGCACAGTCGTTAATAAACCACACTCATGTTGAATATGCGCACTCATCATATGTGGGTCTGACACATATCAGGTATATTGTCATGTGACTCACTTAAGACCGACACAGATGAGGGACCTGAACTTGACGTCCATCTGAGCGTGTGCTGAGTCATGGCTCATGTTGACTGACTGCACTGCCTGGAAAAGCAGACAGGTGGGGCTAATGCATCAACCAACACTTAGAAAGGCTTATCCCTTTTGTTTACAGAATGTTATTTGATATTGTTAGTTTTTCTTGGAGGTTCCATGTGACACTATTTGCTAACTCACTCTGTACAGCAGCTCCTCTGGTGTCAGTACTTTCCCATCTTCATCTAATCTGGTTAAATCAACAAAGGTTTTGTATTAAATTAAAATATATATCTCATTTATTGAAAGATCAGGTTTTAGTTAAGCTGAATACAGTTTATATTTGTTGTACCTGTAGGTTTTACAGAGCACCAGTCTTGAGTAAACAGAGTTGAAGTCTCTTTCCACTTCTCTGCTGGCTGCCTGCAGAAAAAAACCCAGAAAAAAAAACAAATGTTAAATCACAACAGTTTTGACCACAACAGCATGTAGATATAAAAACCAAAAGGTCTCCTACCTCTTCTATGAAAAGCCAAGGATGACAGGGCCCGCCGAGTATTGAAGGCTTCTTCAGACCATGCAGAAAAATGGCTTTTAAGGCCGGGCACAGTGTTCCTCTGACCAGGTCTGTGACTGCCTCTGTGACGGAGTCATCACCTGCCAATGAGTACTGCAGACGGATGAGAGCACAGGTCAAAGATGAGGCCAAACCTTATTTCTCATCTTAACAAAAGTGCTACTTACTTCTTTGCTTCTTTCATCAAGAACCTCCACAAACTTTGCAGGAAACCAGCCTGTTACAAAAAAGAAAGAATATACAAGATAATAAGAATATGTAAAAGAAAATGAGTTCTGAAACTTTGAGAAAAGTACACACACCTCTGAGACCATTGAGTTCTCCAACCCAGCAGTGTTCGTCCCTCTGTGAGATGATCTGATGGCAAGATATTAAAATGCATTAGATAAATATTCAAAAACAGAACACCCATGACTGCATCCATGTACGAGTCACTGCCTACAGTGATGATGTCATTCTTTCTGAAACCCAGTTCATCGTCATCGTGTCTCTCAAAGTCCAACAAAGCCTTCGCTCGTCTTCGACGGGTGCGTGACACAACGAGGAAGTTTTCGTGATCACGTTGGTGGCTCTCCATGGAGTAGTCTGGAGTCAGATCCTGGAAAGTCAAGTCAAAGTCATTTCATCAAATGAAGGATATATTTTTACGAAAAGAAAAGGAACAGGTTTCAAAGCTGTAGACTGTTATATGAACTCACAGTACTGGAATGACGTGGGTCAAAACAGTGGAAATGCTCTGCGGTGTGTGTGATGGCCTCTCGCAGAGCAGCCACCAGCTCCGTCTGCTTGATGTTTTTAGATTTTAGGGCTTCGGCTTCATCCTCTCCAAACAGCAGAGAACTCAGTGTGGACTTCCTGCGCAGGGACTGTCTTCTCACAACCTGCTTTCAAAGAACAAACAAAATACACCAGTTGTTATTTCCTTAAGACAACACAAAATGAACATCTCTATTTCAAAGACATACAGCCCCGGCTTATGTTCCTTCAGTGTAGAGATCAGGTCTTTGTGTATGGAGTAGGAAATATAAATATGGAAGGGCGTGCACACACACACACACACAAATAAATATATATATATATATATACACTTGAGTTTGAGACCCCTGCTCTAATACAACAGCACACACAAACAGTCTAAGTATGTACACACAATTCAAACATTGCATACAAGTGCTCTTTTATTAAGATAAATATGGCCTGACTTTTCACATGCACACCCAATGAACAGCACAGAAATGAAGAAACAGAACAACCAGCCACACTCAACAAACTGAATAACATTGCTGTTTCAACGTTTTACCACACTGGGGCAGTATAACCTTGGGTGCAGCTCTAAATTTAGACAATATGGTAATTCACAATTCAAGTATGGTCCTCCTTTGTTGTTTATGATACAAAAGGACAAACACTGACCTTGTTGAGGTTAGTGTTCAGGGCCACGTTGTTCCCATTGTTCAGCTGGGCCTGTTCATTCAGTATGTAGGCTTGGTGCTTGTGTCGGAAGGCCTCCAGACTTTCCTGAGACAGGGAATTTGCGAGCCGCATGGCTTCTCCAAGCACGGCGTTGCCATCTCTCAGCTGACTGGGTAAGTCTGACAAGGTGTTGAAAATTGAAGCGGAGTTCTCCGATGAAACCAGCTCCTCTTCCTGAAGTTTGGCAATATATTCATATTAAGATCAACACTCAATTACGTAACCATGGTGGGTCAACTGGAATGTAAATTAGCTTCAAACACCTTGATCTTCAGCATGCCCAGTGTGATCTGAAAAAGCACCAGTGAGCCCTGGTAGAAGAGAAGGTCCCAGATCCTGAGGAGCAGCCTGATGTCCACCACACTGGCAAATGATGTCAGGAACCAGTGGAGTGTGATCAGTGACAGCTCTAAAGGCAGAAGATTTAAAAAAAAAATTCCATTTTTTTACCTTTTGCTTAATCTTTATCCCTTAAAGAAAGGGTCTCAAAGTACCGGCTTGGGGGCCACTTTCAGCCCACGACTTCCATCCAATAATGAAAATATTATTTATAATGAACGCTCAAAGGTAGCCGACACGACAGATTCCAGAATGACATTTATAATGATTTTTTTTCTATATATCTAGAAGCCGTGGTCCCGAGCACATTTGAGTTTGAGACCCCTGCTCTAAACCCCTGCACCTAAAAGACAGCTTATTTTCCATGCTGACCTATGTCGTGGTCCTGCAGAAGGCGGTCGAGGGCAGGCAGGTACTGAACTATGAGTTGGCGCAAGACCCTCTGGTCAGTTTGGACGCCCAGCAGGGTGGAGGAGAAGTAGGCGGGAGGAAGGAGATCCTCAATCAGGGCACACATCATCCACAGTACGTCCTCCTCTTCCAGAAAAAGCAGCAGACATGAAACCACCTGGAGGATTGGGAAAAAGAACAAAAGTGAGACAACTAGCGAATTAAATAAAAACATGGAGAAGTACAACAAATACAACTCACCATCCCTGTACCCTGGCAGTACCCAATGTCTGGGTAGAGCCAGGCCAGTCCTCTCAGTACCCGTCTCAGCCTTGGTACTCCGACACTGGTCATGGTATTGAAGCATGCATTGGTGGGCATGGTCCGCAGGAGGTCCTTCTCTATCTGAGGGGTAAAAGAAAACCAGGAAACTGTGATTTTTTTTTTCATGTATTACAGGGAATCCACATCATCAAGTCAAAACCGTGTCTTATAGGTCAGTTGCATCACCAGAATTTCACCTGTTTTGCTGTAGTACAGTCCTCATTGGAGCTGTTCTTAATAATTTCTCTGTAGGAAATCTCAGACGTCCTCTTCTTCTGCAGTGCTCCAGACAGCCTCATCCAAATCTAACAAAATAAACAATTTCAGTATTCTAATAATCCTGTCAGTCTCACCACGGTGTAAATTCACGCACCTGAGGCCTCATGGTATGAGGGACGCCCCCCAACACCAAAGTCCGTAGACGATCCGAGCGTGGAAGGACAGGATCTATCAGATCCCAGGTCAGGTCACCCACTGTGTGATTGTGTGTGAACTCCAGGTGTGCTTGCCATCGCAGTCGCTGCTGGGGATCTTCACGCTGAGGTGAGCCTTCAGTCTTTAGCCAGGACCTGGAGCCCTCACCATCTGTGTAGTATAAATGTTTTAATTTTCCCACCTCTCATCAGCAGCGGCTTGGATAAAGCAGAAAATTACACAGTAATTACCTTCAGTGTCCATTCTGAAGCCAAACTCATCATACTGCAGCTCACAATGTTCTGACAAACCTTTCTGTAGAGACAATCAGACAAAATGCATTTCATTTCTCCACATCTGACTGTCAAATACTGTGTTTTATCCACCACAGCCACAACACCAGGCAGCAAAATAATGCGGTCCTTAGGGGAATTATATTATTTTTTTTAAAAACCTGTTCTCAATCCTTCTGGTATACAGTAGTAAAATTATATCAAATTTATAGTGTTAAAAATGTAATGAGTTTAGGGCTATTTTTACAAAAACAGCATGTAAAAAATGAGAGAACTTTGAATAACTCATTATGACAGTAAGTGCTCACCTGATGGTACTTGGCTAAAATGTCCTGAGGCCACATGCTTGGAGTGAGGGCAGAGAACGGCCCTCCAGGAGCAGGAGTGTAGGTCCCTGTTATATTTAGACACTTAAATTAGAGCTGTCAAAATGGACACGTTGATCACATTAATTAAGTCAGTACGTTGGTCGGTTTACAGCTGACGAACTGACAGACAATTGTTAAATGTATTATGTGTAAAAACGGCTTCACCGAAGTTGTGAAAAAGGCTATAGATTAAAAAAAAACTAAAAATATTTTTTCCATATGAATAATATCTGTGAAAAATCAAACCAGTTTGAATACTTCATGTTAGACGGATTCCTATACCTGACATGTTGTTGGTTGTAGGTTAAATACTCGTAGACGTAGAGACCGCAGACACCTCAGAAGAACAGAAGATCGTACACGCCCTGCAGCAAAGACAATCACAGGAAATGGAAAGATTGGAGATTAAATTCCTTTCTTGTGATTTTTAGGAAAGCTACTAAAAAAAGTGCTCGACCTGTCAGCTCTACTGTACATATGGAGACCCAGTGATTCTCACTTCTCTCATAAGGAAGTAGTACAGACATACAGTATATAAACGACGAGAACAGAGAGAATGACTGTGTACGAGAATAAAAACATTCCTTCTAATCACTTCAGGACCATATGACTCACCAGAGGCATTTTCCTCACTTGGCTGTGTGTGCAATTTTGTATCCTACTTTTCCATGGTGATTATCCTTGAGCAAATTGACAACAATACCAGCAGAAGAGGAACTATGAGGCGCCTTCTGATTACTGATTCATGACAAACACTTTCCACATTTTTATTTTGGTAAACAACTTCTTCCTTGTGGACTGTTATCTTAAGAAACAACATCTATTATACAAGGGCTGACATAACATACACACACATACAACGGACCTATGGAAGTTGAAGTGAAGGTGGGGCATAACATTTCTGTAAATGACCAAGAACTGACCCTATAATTTACGTGACAGAGGCATTTAACGCCCTATCACATGAATTTGTTTCCAGCACAGACCAACAGTGCAGAGATGACTTGGACTGAATTAGACTCATACAATGCTCTAAATGTCCTTAAACTTGGAAAAATGTTAAGCTGGAGCCAGCGATAACAGACAAAATCACTGGCGATGGTGTGGTTCATAACATCATACAACTGATATCTCTGTGTGCCGTGCATGCGTTTATCAATGGAAAACCTCCAATCCTCAAGAGGTTTCACATTTCATTATTAAACTGTGATTCTGGTTACAACAGATACAGAGTACTCGCTGTCACCGACATTTATTTAAATACACAATAAACTGTCTTCAAACTGTACATTAAAAAGAAAAAAGATGAATGAAAATGCTACTCTTTTTATGGTTAAGAAAGGCAGATGAACAGAGAGTTAGCTTAGTAGGGTTTTTATACAAACTGAAAACATTGTCTACAAATTAAGAGTCACTTAAATGCTGGGAACTCCTCATCTACTCGCTGTGCCATTCGACTGTGAAGAGATGCTAATGAATTCAGGGCTAAGGCACGTCTTCAGGCGTTTTGTTAAATGGCTCATGTCGTAAAAGAACAATTCTTACAGAAAGCAAGCTCATAATGAACACACAAACATAGTACACACAGTAGTACATGGCTGAATAATCAGCCAAATCCTGCAAAAGAGGTTCACAGGCATAACAACCACTCAGCCAAGATGATTCATTCCAGCAGCACATTTTTTTTTCTCATCTGAAGAGGGATTTAGGTCTTAAGAGAGATGAAAAATCAATTTGATGTTTGGAGGTTGGTCAAGTCCTTTCAGGCCAGCCCTGTGTGAAGCATGCATGGGAATTGGAACAGCACTTTGGAGTGACTTTCTGTGTAAACAGTTTAAAATTCTGCCAGGAAAACCCACATGACAAACCGTCTTCTCTTCTCAGACTGGCCTTGTGTCAACCTGCCGATTTGTCACAATCTAGAGCTGCATTAATGCTGCTGTGACACCACTGCAGTCATCATAACTAATTACCGGCAAGAACTGACTAAACCTTTTCAGGGGTTTACGTGTTCAACAGTTCCTTCTTTGAAATTTGGTTAGGATTTATCAAAAGCAAATTCGATTTATTTTTTTAGATTCAAGCAGTTTAAGCTATTGCTTCTTCCTACTCCTTTAAAAAAAAAAAAAATTACAATATTGTAATATGTAAATATTGTTCAAACAAACAAAAAACTACAATATTGTAATATGTAAATATTGTTATGATGTTTGTTTGTTTAAAAAAACCTGATTCATTCATTCAGATTCAATTAAAGACTCAAATGACTAATAACTACACACTCAGATTCAATTCAAGACTCAAATGACTAATAACTACACACTACAACTGACAAAATCTCTTACACATAATAATCTTACAATACAAACATGTTCAATCTACAATTCTTTACAAATACAAACAAAAAATAAAAATGTCTTTTTTATCCTAGCGAGAATGGGTGTGGTGTTTCGCTTGTGTTTGCACACAGCAGTCAACACCCTGCTTCAACACAGTAAAGAGAAATATCGTGCTGAACTCTAGTCACAATTTTGTAGTACTAGTCAACCAGTCTGTGGCCAAGTTATTAACTTAAAGATAAGCTCACCTATGAACTAAATTAACAACGCATGTAACCCAAGGCTAACCACTGTGTACTGCTCAACTGCAGACAGAAATGTAAGCACATAAATAGTAGAATGTTAAAAAAAAAAAACTTGCCTGAGGCTGATACATTTATAAAGCTCTCTTCATCCTCTGACTACTATCATGTTCCAAAGATGGAAGAGCTTCAATCAAGTTGCTCCCTTAGCTACAGAATGACAATCAGTTGAAGCCAAGCGACTGGTCATTGCAAACAAATAGAAAAGAGAGAAGTGGTGATAGATGCAGTAATCATTTTCAACCACAATGTGAGGAACAAGGAGGATCACACAACACTATTATTGGTAATACTTCTGTATTATTGTTTCCACCATTAACAAACAGTCCTCACTTACAAGAATAGGGTTCTCAACATTTGACTGCACCTATATACTTGTAATTACAATAATACTGGAAACTAGTTTTGCAAGGAGATTAAGTACCTTCATGCATTACTGGTCTCTAATGTTGTTGTCACAAACATGATCATCATTACCACTTTTTAAATAGCCAACTACAACTACTACCTCAAAATGGCTGCCCTGCTAATACATACCACACTGAGCTCTTGTTTGGCCAATCATTCATTTTATTTAATTAATTAATTAAATTCACAGGAATGGAATCGTAGGTATTTGAATGCCTGATTTATACTTTTCTTTCTAACCAGTCTCGATTCAACGTAACTATTCCTCTGCTTGGTCACATTTTCTCCAACTAATTCAAAATGATAACACAAGTTCCTAAGAACCGATTCTAACAATAGTTAGTTTATAAGCAAGGGATATAATTTAGAAGTGACTGCAATTCTCATGTATAGTTAATATGTCACACATACTGGGCGATTCATTCATTCAATTCAATTAATTTCCGTGTACGTCAAAAGTCAAAAATGTCATCTGTTGCCTTGGAGCTGAACCTGCTCACTTGTGGATGAAAGCCTGTACGCATGTCTCTGTGACACCATAGAAACACTGTTCAACATCAGCTGATTTAACGCTACGTCAAGCCCACGCTGACGTACGACTCCACAGACACGACAAGAGAAAACGGACCTTTATTTCCATATCTCTGAATAGACACATGTGATCCAACATAAAATGAACAGATAAAACCTCAGTGATAAGTCACTTTAAATGGACAGCTGTTAGCCTGAGGTGCTACCCCTTTAGCTTTTAGCTCTGTAGCGACGCACAACAACGTAAAACGGACCGCTGGCATAACTTACCTTGACATTACTTTGGTGGAATCACAAGGTGGTAGTTTGTGTCAGACGCGTCTTTGGTGTTTCAAAACTATTCAACGCCACATGCTACAGTGACATTGTTGCCATTTTTGTTTTTCCCTGCGTTATGCACCTGCTAGTGAAGTGCAGTTCCACTGTATCCTTACGCCCACTTAGCGTGTATCCAATCCAATCCTGAGAAGTAGATCCACATCCCGGAACTGTACTTTGCAGGGAAAATATCCTTCCGCACGATATAATGGATGACGTAGAGAGAATGACGTGGGTTTAGCTGTACACATCACTCATTCATTAATTTTCCTCCACCGTGGTTTTTTCTTATTGCATATAACCATAATTTCACCCGGTCACAATTTACAGCCTATATAACGTTGACTTTAATGATCAACTCTGCATTACGTCAAGTCCGATCACATCACTGTCTTCATGAAAAACATTTTACAAAGAAAACAAAAAACGTAAAATCAATGCAATTTCCCCACTTCTGGGATAAATAAAGAAAATTAATTAAAATTAATTTGCCTTGCTGGACCCACACCCCAATTTTGGAAACCACTATAGTAGTGGATGATTAACCTATCGATGCTGCAGTTTCTTTGGCTAAAAGGACCATAACAAAGAAATACAGCCTGCAATTAATATAAACTGTTAAGTCCTACTTTGTTAAACTCCAACTCCAACAAGCATGTCAAGAAAGGATATACAAAATTATATTCTTTTTTTTATCTTTTTTTGGAAAGTATAAAAACTTTTTAGGAATTGTTACTTACATTGATAAAAATCGGTTGTGTGAAATTCCAAAGCCTGGTGATGGTTGCATAGACATTTTATGTTAATTTATATTAATTTTTGTATCAAGATACTTATTAGTCCTTGGATGACAGAAAGGCACCTATGAAATAAAATGTATTATTATTATTATTATTATATGGTTATCTAAATGTGAATGCTTAGGGTCTGCTTTAATAATTCCTCCTATTATTTTTGTCTTTATACTGACCTGTGTGTGACCACACACGGTAAAAATGCAGAAAGTCCTTCTTTTTCATTAATAAATTGTCTCTCACCTCACCTGCCTGTCCCCCAGATGTCCTCCTCCTCCTATATTTTCTGCTTCTGCCCTCTGACACACCAGTGTGACGCCAATCTCTCTTTCTGTGGACTCACATGCTCAGTCTGCAGTGTGCCAGAGTGAGTCACATCTTTAAAAATGCTGCAGCCCAAAGCTGACCTTGCCAATAATTTGCCAGCCCAATAGACCAAATCCTAAATCCACTAGAGTCTTGTTTCGGTTTTGTTTCCCTCCGCTGAGTGTTATCCTGATTTAATTTGTAACCTTTGAAGAAAAGATGTTTTATCTGCAAGCTATGGAATATAGGCTTTGAAGTCAGGCAGAGACATGGAGGTGCAGAAGAATATTACATCTGTAGAACAGGGTGACAGAGAGCAAGAAACACAGAACGTGGGAGGAAAGCCCAAAATCAAGTGAGAAACAAAAAACCTCATGTGAGGGAAAATGTACAATAAAAACAAGCAGATCAAAAAGCACTGTCGGTCTGGGTAGTTGCAGGTGGTGAAACAGCACGTAAGAGGATTTTCTTACTGACATGTTCAGTGCAAAGTCCAGAAGCAAAATGCAGAAAACCAACACCTGCGGACACATGAGGAACATCAAATAAACCACTTGTTCGCATTGAAATCATTTGCTGCAGTCTTGCGCGTTTTCTCCAGGGCAGAAGGGGGCGCTGTTGCATAATAGAAGGCAGGCTATAATTAATCATACATGGGGAACACACTTAAGGAGAATGGGCTTCGGCAAATGTAAATATGTGCAGAACACGTGTGCACGTGAGTGCGCGTGTGTATGTGAGTGAGTGAGAGAGAGAGAGAGAAAGAGAAAGAGAGAAAGAGAGAGAGATAGCACATGGATATACATGCAGCAGTGTTTATTATGCATGCTGTCCACATAAATTTATGTGTGTGTGTCTGTATTAGGACATGCATAATAAAGCTGTAGCCAAAGAAAGTGTTTTCTTTGTCCTCACTCCTACTGAAAAGCACTTCACCAGATAATAATTAAGCGCTCCTCCTCTGTCATACCAGATACGCAGTGGACTACCTCGATCAGAGAGGTTTATGTAACCTGCGGGACTTGGCCACTTGCTTTGGAATCACATATATCATTAATGCATATGAGGCCATAATATACTACAAACTACTGCAGTCGCCTGCTTGATGGCACCACTGCTTTTCCCAGTCTCAGAGGAGCTCTGCTGTAATGTAAGGGATTGAAGGTAAAGGGCAAGTTCTATGGACCAACTAAATATGATGGCAAGTTATTTCTCCTGAGTGTTGTATTGGGAATACGTGCTTTGTATTTACGGCTGGTGTTTTCATATCTACTGTATGTTGAAAGGGCTTGTGGTGGAGCATAAGAGGAATTGAAAGGAAAATGCATTTGTGTTGAATAATACATTTGTCACAAAAGTAAACACAAAATAAAGGATTCTGGTTCTGAGGTTAGGAACGAGTTGATTGACCGGAGCCTTATGTGTCATGGCATCTTCAATGCATTTACATACAAAACTCACATTTGGCTTTTTATCTGTCTAAGCTCATTTGATCGTTGGTGGGAGATATGATGTGATAGGATGCCATAAGTATACACAAACCCATTTACGTACACACTCTCGGTTGATGTGGTTGTGTGCACTGAGGTTACAACGTGCCAACAAACTGAATGTTGATAAGATAGAAGAGAATATATGTGCTGTGTGATATATTTGGAGTTGCTTTTCCAAAAAAAGAAGGGGGGGGGGGATTCTGTACAAGGTTTTCAACTATAGAAGATTTGCATGATGCAGTGGTGCAATAAAATATACAGTAATACCTGCATAAACTGCTACCTTGAAACCTTTGTCACATTCCCATAAAACAGGACCTGCAGCGTGACATCAGAGTTACTATGTGGCTGGGGCCGCAGTGCAGCAGCCACTTGATTTAAATTGAGTAAAATTTCAGCGTTACATAACCACGTGCACTCAAGCAAGGGAAATATGAACTGTACATTTTACAAACGGCCACATTAGGAATTTACGTGCTGTGGTTTTTGCAGTTTCTTTATTTGTTCTATTCTTGTAAAAAAAACCCTTCGCTTCATTATGTCCATCTGCTGTGGCCATTTGTTGGGTGGGAGGCCAGTCATTATTTGTTTTTACATGGCAGACACAGACAAATAGTTTGCTGTGGCCAAATGAATCCGTCAAATCGCTTCTTTCCTTTTATTGTATTAACGACAACAGACGGAATACTTTGTTAACCCTTGAACCTCCCACCCTCTGAGTGGCAGTGTGTCTGAGCCTGTGCCTGTTTGGCTTTACTCTAGAAATAGACTGGATTATAAACTGGCAGATTACTACTGTATCTATCCATACATCATAAACAGATGATGGCATCCATCAGGGACAACTGCAGTACAGCAGGGATTATAAAGACACACAATATATATATTCATTCACTCCATATGCCCACTTAGATTGTTTTAATAAATAGGAGCAGTTTTAAATATAAATATTAAGAAACAAACAAACCATTTCCCCCAGGAATGAGTTGATGGGTTAAATACAGGGGACATGTTTAGTGGTTTATTATTATGACTGTTATTATAAATTATATTATATTCCAAAAGTTCCAACCATGAGGTAAGATGAAAATACTGGTGCTGATCCAAGCTTTGGTTAAATAAAGGGACCAGATGAAGTGATTACAGTTTTAACAATGAGCTAAAAACAAAGATGATCGTGTTGCTAAGTATAAACTTTTTTCCACAATTACAGTTTTAACAATGAGCTAAAAAAAAAGATGATCGTGTTGCTAAGTATAAACTGTGTCGTATAGTCTTTATTAATTAGTCTTTGAAAACTACACAGGCTGCCACTGTAAGTGTGTGGTTCATCTGGTGCTCTAACCCATGACCCTCTATGTGTAAGGCAGGCGTGATAACCGCTACACTATGGAAACACCATATCAGTAAAATATCTGCAAAATTGTGTGAATTTATGCCTTCAGGTTAAAGCCACAAGCAGCAGAGGAACATCGTAACTTCCTTCTTCAAGGAAAAATGAATCATTTTAGAAAATGTGTGTCGAGTAACTTTAATGGAGGTGAGGCAGTAAATCCTTTGTTTCTCTCCAGGCAGAAAAAATATGTTTATACCAATGCTGATGCTAACACTTATTAAGATGGATTGAAATGATCCTTGCTGTTGCTGCTCTCTGTCGCTGCCACTAGTTTGAAAAAGAAGACAAAGACAAAGACAAAAAACAAACTATTTTCTACAGCGTCGGCCAAGAAGGTTTATTTAACAATAGGACAATAGGAGTCTTTGTCCAACCCAAGGTCAACCTGACATGTGACCTCACAGTCTGAGGGGACTGATTCACATGTGGTTGTGTTTGTTTGTATGTTGTAGACACAGTTGGACATCACACATGTATATTGTATGTTAAGTTTAAGCGAATTTTTAAGTGATGATATTGCTGCAGTCCTCGTTTAAACTGATTTTTTTTCTTGCTTTCTAGCAGTTCAGCTTTTTTTTCTTTTAAAATAGCTTGTCCTCTACGTGAACTTTATTTAAAAATATGCAACTTATGAAGGGGATTTGTGAAGCAAATCATTTTTGACATTTCTCTGCAATATTTCCATAATTCTCTACCCAGATATATATCACTGTGGGCTTCTGTACACGATTATAGTATGTGGACATAATTAATATAAATTTGAAAAATATTCACTACAACAGATTACATCTGCGACACTGTTCTTTCATGTTTGACTCTAATGCTGCCTCAGATGTTGCTACTGTTGGTCTGGGTGGCCTGGTTATATAGACTGAAAAAAAGAAAGACCTAAAGCTGTTCAATAAGATCACAGTGTGTCTCTTTCTTCAATTCCTGTGAGTATATCAGCATTTTCCATTTGCTCACCGAGGCTAAATGTCCCCCTGCTCAAATCACAAAAGTGTAATATTTTTTGTCCCCATCTCTTACACTGTTGTCTTTTTTCTTCTTTTTCTTTTTTGTCTCACCTGTCACCCATGCTCCCTTCATCTTTCTCCTAATCTGTCTTCATCACTGCATTCAGCACTCCCCCACCCCCCCCCCCCCCTGACTGTCTGCCCACCTTCTAGGCTCATTTCTTTCCCTCTCTCACCTGATAACAAGGAAGATGGTGCAATCCTATGCTTCACTGGGTCTTTTA